GGGGGGGGCTGGAGACTCAGCTGGCGCACGCGCATTACGCGGAGGCCCCTGGGGCTTGTTATGCGGGACCCGAGCAGTCTGCAGCACAGTAAGTTCTGTACTCCGGGGGGCGGGGCGGGGCTTTCTGGCTTGCTGTTTCCGGTCGGGTCGATGTACGGGCCTAGACTTCCCGCGGAGGCTGGCGGTAGTTGCGGCTTCAGTTTTCTGCGGCTGGGAGTGCTTGGTACCTCCGGGCCTGGGTCCCGTTCCTTGGGCTTGTTATGCGGGACCCGAGCAGTCTGCAGCACAGTAAGTTCTGTACTCCGGGGGGCGGGGCGGGGCTTTCTGGCTTGCTGTTTCCGGTCGGGTCGATGTACGGGCCTAGACTTCCCGCGGAGGCTGGCGGTAGTTGCGGCTTCAGTTTTCTGCGGCTGGGAGTGCTTGGTACCTCCGGGCCTGGGTCCCGTTCCTTAGCGGTTAGCTCCAGCCTCTGCGGTCCAGGAGGCCTCCTGAGCTCTCACCTCGACAAGTGGCAGCAGCCCGGACCTGCAGGCTCAGGACAGCCTGCAGGGCGTTCTACGCACGCTCTCCTGGGATTTGTGCATTGTAAAGCGTTTCTGAAGCCCCAAGCACCCTAAATACTCATGTTCAGGAACCCGGGTTGGGACTGGGTCTGGTTGCCTTCGGAAGGGAATATCCAAGGGCACTGCTCCACGCAGCTGCAGGCTGTCCTTACTGAACTGTTAAATACAGCTGGTGATAGAGCTGCAAAGACCTTAGGGGTGGCAGCCGAACTAGGTTTGTACGTTTTCTGTGGTTAAGCCTAGCTATAAATACTTGAGGTGTATTAAAGCATTTCCCCCTCTCCACTCCCTACACTGCAGGCCACCAGCACAGCACAGCGAAATTAAGCAACTTGATTCAAATCATGTGGAGCGGGGATTCAAACCCAAGTGCGGCCACATGAGCTCTCTGGTCTCAACACCATACAGTGGTGGCTACTTCGTCGCCTGCATGACTTAACTAGGCAAGAGTTCCAACTTTAAACATTTGTAGACACAAGTCTTACACACCAGGATTCCTAGACTCCATACATATACTGCCAATATAAAGACCCTTAGTACACACATTTTTGTGTTCCCGAAAGGCTTCCGTGGCTTTCAAGATGAATTACTTTCAGGCCACATGTTTTTATAAATCTGTGGTTGCTACCTATGCGAAAGTAATACCAAATCATAAATTAGTTCAAGAATCTTCAATTTTGTGAGGAGCAATGAACATTTGTGTACTAAGTGTCTAAGCAGTAGTCATCGATGCAGCTGATCTTCCCTATTTATTGTCATTGAAAGTGATACAAAACCTACCTACTGAAGCATTTCTCCCCCTTGAACTTAAGGAAGGGTGTCACCCTGGAGATAAGCATTCGGATAATGTGTGGGCCAAGTCCTCACACTTGGTAAAAGAACCTTAGTCATTGCTGAAGAGTAATGTAAGTAAGGTAAGTACTTTTAACTTCATGTCTCTTTTGTCTGCAGTGAGTATCTACTTGAATGTATTATCTACCCTGGAAAGGTTATAATAGTGATAGAAGATCCAGTTAGCAAATACGTGATTTTATGTGGAGTTCTCACTTTTAGAAACCTAATTTTAGGAATAGGCAAAACTTTTTTAAAAAGAAAACTGTAGAATAGAACAACTAAATTTTTGAGAAGAAAGTATTTAGCCTTCAAACTGGGTAGGTTGTCTAATTTTACAGTTTCTTTTATTTAAGATTCTGTTATCTTAGATCTATTGTACACACAATTGACCACAGTTAATAGTATATTGTATTGTATTCTCACCACAATGTAATTGTGTGTGGCAATACATTTATTAATTAACTAGACTTAGTCATTTCACAATGTATGATAGAACAGCATGATGTACATATAAATGCATACAATTTTATGTCAATGTAGAAATGCTAAATTTCTTTTTAAAGATTGTAGTTTCTTAAAATAGAGAATGTAGGAGTACATGAATAGTTAATCATTTAAATTCTCAAAGGTGAACATGTGTTCTCACTGTTGTCGGAATGGACCATGGTATTCCCAGTATTTAATTAAGAACAATGTGGGTGTTAATTTTAAAGTCATCACATACCATAAATAGTACCAGTTTTGATACATAAAGGAAACTATTATTTGAAAGATAATACTTTCCTAAGCATAAAGTAAGGTTACAGTCATAAACACTCTGAAACTGTTATCATTTCACCACAGCCCTCTGTTCCTTTCTTATCAGACCCTTCAAAGTTTACTGCAGTTTTTCTTTGTTGGAGACAAACCTTGTAAATGCTCTATGCTCCAAGACCAAAGTTTGAGGAAGGACTATATTTGGTTTTCATCTGTTTGGTTGTCAGGAGAGGTTAATTTTTAGAGTTAGTCTGTATCTGTTGTATTTGTTATTGCTTGATACTAGTATTTCTTTATATTTGGGGGGGGGTTAACTTCTTTCTCTACAACTAAATTTTGACATAAGCTTACAAATTCTCAAATATTTCTTTCATGATCTATGTACAGGTACATTCTCTGAAGATACAAAACCCTATTTTTTCTTGAGTTTTGGATTATTTGCAATAAAGATATAAAGTAGGATTCAAGTTAAATACTAGAAAGAGTAACTTTAAATGTAAGAGCAAAATATTATGAGACATTTAAAGATATTTTTAATTATCATCTTGCTTTTCTCTGTAAGTTTATCCTATAAACATGTGTTCATAAATAACATGTTTTGTGCAGTTTTGTACATAATAAAAATTAGTGGATACTCTGAACTTAGAAATCATTTCACATATAATTTATAAAATTAATCCATTTTCACTTCTATGCAGCATTCCATCGAATGAATATGCAAATTATTCATTATACTATTGATGAGTTTTGAGGGTTTGGGGTTTTTGTCATTTGCTCTTATAGTCATTCTTTTTTTTTCACTTTATTTATTATTTTTATTTTATGTGTATGTGTGTATTGCCTGCATGTAGATAAGTGCACCTGTGTCGTGCAATGCCAGCAGAGGTCAGGAGAGGCTGTCTGATCCCTAGGACTGGAGTTACAGACAGTTGTTAAGCTGCCATGTGGATGCTGGGATTCGAACCCAGGTCTTCTGCAAGAACAACCAGTGTTCTTAGCTGCTGAGTCATCTCTCCAGCCCTAGTCATTCTTTTTTTTTAAAAAAATATATTTTTATGTATATGAGTGTATTGCTTGCATGTGTGTAAGTGCACCCATGTTGTGCAATGCCGAGGAGGTCTGAAGAGGGCACCAGATCCTTTGGAACTGGAGTCACGGATGGTTGTGGGCTGCCATGTGGGTGCTGGGAACTGAACTCAAGTTCTCTGTAAGAGCATCAGTGCTCTTAACCACTGAGCCGTCTCTCCAGCCCGTTAGAGTCATTCTTGTGCATGTTTCTAGGTGCACCTGTGCTTATTTCTCTACCATACCTCAACTGGGATTATTGGGTCATGGATATATTCAATTTTACTGCATGATACCAAGCTGGACCAGCATTATGTCATGACTAGCAGTTACTCCATATTCTTCCCAATGCTTGGTATAACTTTTGCTAGTCTGGTGGATGGAAATAATATTCTCTTTTTGGCTTGTCTTGGCTTAGCTTTGCAAATTTTTCTAATGAGGTTGAGCATTTTCACATGGGACTATCAGTCACTCAAGTTTCTTAATCTGTGAAATATTTGGTCATGTGTTTCATCCATTTTTCTTTGGTTGTTTGGCATTTTCTTACTGGTCTATAGGAATTCTTCATATAGTCTGCATCATAGTACTTTGTGGCTTATGTATGCAAATTTCATGCTATTTCCTTTTCTTATTTAAGCCTATTTCCCTTTCCTCCATCTATTCTCTTTCTCATTTTTTCTTATCATTTTCACTACGTTATTGTGTGTTCTTTCATGAAATCTGTTAAAGCTGCACATCCAACTCTAAAGGTAAATATTACCACCTAGCAATTTGTATATTTTGGGTACTTGGCAAAATCAATCAAAACCAGATGACAGTTGAGAGATACAGTTTTCCAGCTTCCTGTCAGCCATAACTAACCCAGAAAACCATGGCTACCTTCATCTTTTCTTTAACATATTTTTTAATTTATTTGTTTTATGTGTATGGGTGTTTTGCCTGCATGTACGTAAGTGCATCCATGTTGTCCAGTGTTAGCAGAGGCCAGAAGAGGTTGTCAGAGTTCCTAGAACTGGAGTTAGGGATAGCTGTTAACCACCATGTGGGTACTGGGAACTGAACCTGGGTCCTTCCCAATGTAGGAATAGAACCCATGGCACACACTGGTAAGCACATGCTTCACCACCTAGCTATACCCCCAGCCCAATTGAGTTAATGAGAGTGAGGATTAATTCTGCAAACCCCAGTGTAGAAATTTGCCATTCCTGTCATTTCCTAAACTTAATCTGTATACTTTTTATGCATTGAATAACATTGAATGACAGCTCTTGCTTCTTCCTCTATACATGTCAGTTTTGGAACACAGGCTTATGATGCTATCTGATAGCCTGTCTTTACCTGGCTCAGAGCTGCCCCATTTGTTACTGTGGTTTATAAATTTCTTTTTTCTAAAACTCATTTCTAATATTAAATAATTTTAATATTTTTATAAACTTAAACATTTTTTATTTTATGCATATGAGGTTTTTGGGTTTCTATTTATTTTTTTGTTTTGGGTTTTTTTTTGGGGTTTTTTTGCCTGCACATATAGAAGTACACCTGTGAATACAATGCCCCATGGAAGCCAAAACAGGGTGTTGGTTCCTCTGAAACTGGAGTTACAGATAGTTGTTAGCCACCGTGTCAGTGCTGGGACACGAACCCAGGTCCTCTATAAGAGCAGTCAGTGCTCTTAACTGCTGAGCTGTCTCTCCAGCCCCTATAAACCTGCTTTTTAAATAAGCCATACTCTGTCCCTCCTAACATTATAAAACTTTGAATCACTCATACAGGATTAAGTAAATCTTTAGAAAAGCCTTCAGAAGAATTTCCTGCACAAGATCTGATGCTATTTGGCATTTCCATGAATAACTTTTCTTTTTATTAGGATGAAGAGGGTCTGTAGGTTGGAATCATTTAGGCTAGGTCCAGGTTCTCCTTTAAACACATTGAATATGTGTGTACCTACTGTAAAATATTAACATAAGACTGAAATTGATTTAAAATGTCAGCTTCCTGAAGGTATATTAACTTTCTGTGAAATATGTCAGTATTAGTCTATTTTAATGTGGATTGTGGGGGATCATCTTCCTAAAAGTGGAATATTTATTTGAGATGACATGCTTTATAATCATGGTGAATATTTTCAGCAGTAGACAACTATATGTGTGTTTAATACCCTGAACATTTCACATTACTTTTCTTAGTTTAATTATCAGCAGCCCAGTGCCTGCTGTTAACAGGGGACATCATTTTTATTCACTCCACTTCCTTTTCTATATGTAATTCTTTATCTTGCATGAGGCAGAGTTGAAAACCTGATAATATAAACCCATAAAATTGTTTAGATGGAACTGAAAAGAAGAACATTAAATAAAACCTGGGCTTGGTACAGCCTTTAGAATTGTTACATTGTGTTTTGGAAAGCTTATGTCTGACATAAACGCCTATTGAGGCGTTATTTTGTCTTGAAAACATAAATGGGGCTGGGGATTTAGCTCAGTAGGTAGAGTACTTGCCTCATATGCATGAAGCCCTGGATTTGATCCCCGCACAGCATAAACCTGGTGTGATAGCTAAGGCCTGTAATCCTAGCACGAGGGAAGTAGTGGCAGGAGGCTCAAGAGTGTAAGGCCAATCTGTGATACATGAGATGCTGTCTCAGAAACATATTTAAGCATACCTTTTTAAAGTGATGAACATCTGCCCTGCAGCATGAGCAGCTCCACACCCTTCCCCAACTCAGATCCCCTTCTAGCCCTGGGCCCAGACCCACTCCTGCTCTTTCCACCCCACATCTCTGAACTACCCTCTTAGTCCAGATCTGCCCAATGTGTCCTGATCTCCTGTACTCATATCAGCTCAATTCTCCAACTTTGTTAGACCCTCCTCACAGGCTGTCCATACCCCCATGTTGTCCCTAGCCTCCTAATCTGCCTGCCACAGACCAGCCTACTACCCTGGTAGGTCAGATCCACCCACTGGCTTTTGAATCCCTTCAGTCTAAAGCAGCCCCACTGTCTCCCCTCACTCTCTTCTTTCTAGCCTTGGGCCCGTGTTTACTGTTCTTCCCCCCAGATCTCTGGACTAGCTTCCTAACCCAGACTAGCTTAATCCTCTAGGATAGTTTATTTAAAGTCTCCACAGGCTGTCCCCACCCCCACCTTGCCCTTGGCCTCCTGATCAGCCTGCCTCAGACTTGTCTACTACCATGACAAGTATACTATACACCACTCATCAAAGAAGCTTCTTTTTGCAACAAATGGAGGCTATTACAGAGTTCCACAACTGGTCACACACAGAGAATATATGTCTGAGAGATGCCAGCCCTAAGTGACACATCTACAGTGAGTGGAACCTCTACACCTAAGGCTCATGGAACATAGCAGAAGATAGGGTAGAAAGAATACTAATACATCTCTCTCAACTCTCACCAGCAAAGCTTCCTTATACAACAAAGTGTGATACAGAAGGCCACAGAACTGGTTAAGTTTTAGAGAACAAGAGACTGCAGAGTGTATGTCCCTGGATCGGACTCCAGTATTAAACCTAGCCCATCCATGGCTCAGACCATTGGGGAAGAAGGGGCAGAAAGATCGTAAGAGCCCGAGTTGGTGCACAAATGTAAGGAAACAGAGGCTTTTGGGCCACTGGGAACTTGCTCATATGAACTTACAACAATGGTAACAGCATGCACAAGAGTCATGCCAACTCAGACAAAAACTCAGCATAGAATGGCAGAAATGGGCAGCAGGCCCTGACCCTAGCTAAAGAACTATTGGCAACAGATTACTGCTGGCTAAAGACTATAAGTGAGTACAGATGGGGGAGGGGGGTCTAAATTTGATCAAGATCTATTATATAAAACACACAAAAATCAATAAAATTTTTAAAAACAAAAAATATAGCATAGGAAAAAAGTGAAGAACGTCAGAAAAATGTTACATAGAGATAATAGAGGAATTTTGTTTTTTCTTTGGTTTTTGAGATAGAGTCTTCCTGTAGTCCCAGCTAGTTATGTAGACCAGGCTGGCCACCTGCCTCTGCCTCCTGAGTGCTGGGATTAAAGGAATGCGCCAATACGGTTAATAAGAATGATTATTTTTGAGGACTGGGTCAGACGTATAGCCGTTGACACTGTCTCAGTGAATAACATTTTCTTAGTCTTTTTTTTTTCTTTTTCACTTTTTAATTTGTACATTTGGCCAAAAGAGTGAAGTACAAAATTTAGAGCTATAGGGAAAAGAGGGTTTAAATGGTTATATCCTGCATATAAGCTTTTACTTAGCTATTAACTTATTTGGATTTTAGGAGAATAGAGGTATAAGAAATAAGTGAATTTATGAAAAGAAAAGGGAACCAAGTAGGCTTAGTTCTTCATTAAACAACTAGTTTTGGGATAATATGAGTTTCTCAGAAAGCCTAGGTTTTCATGTATCATTTAGTAATTTTACCTCATTGACCACCTTTATTTTTCCCCCAGGTTATTACCTACTTGGAAGCAAATAATAAAATAGAGGACAGTGTATCTGCTTCATTTGATTAGCAGTAAGTCAGACACTGCGCTGGTCTTGCCTCTTCCCCATGTCTTCCACTTGTCCTCTAAATTTTGAAATGCTTTAGGGATGGCTTAGACATTGTTACTTTCTCTTTTCCTCTGGCCAAGACTCTCTTCCCCCATGCTCCGCTGTAGTAACTTTGTTTTCTGTGCTTTCATGCTAGTTCTGTTTATAATCTGTTTTCCATAGAGCCCAGAGCATTTTTTAAAGAGTGGATCATGTAAAACTTCCTTGGCTCCATATTTAGTGGTTTCTCATTGCTCTGCAACAGCCCACCCCACCCCCACCCCCATTACTACCAGTGCTGTAAAACCTAGTTTTTTCCTCTAAGCCAATCTTGCTCATTATTTTCCAGTTTATATTCTGTTCCTCAGATTAACCAAGTCTTTTCTTTCCTTTGGCCTTTTCATTTGTTGTTCCTTCAGCAGGAATTCTCTTCTACCAACTCTTAGCATGTCTGGCTCATTTGCATTTGAGAGGTTTCAATGGATTAACTCAGCTGCCTACAGCCTATTCCTTGGACAGTCTTGTTCCCCTATTACTTTCTTTACTTTATTACCCAGTTTAATTTCAGCATGGTTTTTGATTGCCGTGTATTGTTGTTGTGCATGTATTTGTTTCATTATCTATCTTGTTATGGAGATGTCATCCTTGGGAGGGCAGAAAGCTTTCATTTCTTTCTTCTGGACATGCCACATAGTGGTCAGAAAATATTTATAAAATGAACGATCATCTCTAACAAGGAGGAGAACTTAGCAGGAGACTCTGAAGATCCTTTATTTTATAATTCTGCCGTGGCTTTATCCATTGTCATTTCTTTAAAATTTTGCCTGCTTGGGCTTTTCAAACATATTCCTCCCTAAATAAACAGAAGCTTCTCTGTCAGTGTTTTCATAGGTTGTGATTACATGTTATCATGACACTTTAAATTTCTGTCATCTGTCATTAATTAGCCTTTAATTTCTGTCACATAATAAAGGAATGGAAGTAGCTCTGCTTCAAGGTGGTAGTCCAGATACCTACAGGATCCCATGCCTAAACATAATAGGCACTGATGCATCATGATGGTCATTTCTCACATGGAATCAACAGAGCCTGACTATTCTAAGAGCATACACAAGCCTCTGAGTCACTTTCAAACAAGTATCTGAATATCTGTGCTGAGAAAAAAAATGTAGTAACCTGCAATTCTCTAGTTAATCAAGGAGAATATCATCTTTTCAAACGCCCGAAATAAAGCAGAAGTAGTAAAGACAATTACTATCTAAGGTGAAGAAATGAAAAGGTCCACTCATACCTCTCCACTCTTGCTAAGAATACTTATCTGGTTGTGGGGATAAGGGGTGGCTATGTGTTCAACTCCAATCAAGTGAGCTACCCCATAGCAAATAAGGGCAGTGAAGCTTTCGTCTCTGTGCTTCAGTTCTGAAATTTCCATCTTGAGTATTGAAATTAATGTCTTACCTTGTAGTGGGGAGTCTTTCCAAGTTTTACCAGACCTTGAGTCTCTGAATCAAAGTAATGACTCTAATCTAGTATTTATGAATATTTTATATATAGCTATAGAAAAATGCATTGATCAGTTTCGGGAAATCCAGACTACTCTTAAATTATCTCTAAGTTGTAACTAAACTAGTGAAGACCACTTGCAATTTTTTTCTCCTTCCTCCCTCCCCCATCCTCCCTTGTTTTCCCCTCCCCTCTGTTCCCATCCACTCTCCATTCCTCCTTTTCTCTCCACCCCACCTCCCCACACCTCCTCCCCTCCCCTCCTCTTCTCCTCCTCTCCCCTCCTCTCCTCTTGTCCTCCTTTCCCCTTCCCTCCCCTCCTCCTCTTCCTTCCCCTCCCCTCTTCTTTCTCCTCTCCTCATTAAATAGCATGGATCCTGAAATGTCTGTACAAGACCCTGAAGAGAAAAAATACACTCCTGTCTGTGTTGGCAAAGAAAATGACATTAAAAAATCTGAACGAATGACAGCTGTTGTCCACGATAGAGAAGTGGTCATTTTCTATCATAAAGGGGAATACCATGCTATGGATATTCGCTGCTACCGTAAGATTTTTTTCATTTATAGAACTTGTATTTATTAACCACAGAACTCTCAAAATTCAGTTTAGTGATTACATGTAATCAATACCTTTTCAATATTCAATACCTTTTCAGATTCAGGAGGACCCTTACATTTGGGAGAAATAGAGGTATGTAAAATTAAATTCACTATTAGCAAACTCAGATGTTTCCTGTGTTATCTAATTCTTTAATTCATAACATTTTTATTTAATTCTACTTTAGTGCTTTGAAGATAATTGCACTATTCTATGTATCCATATCCTATAATGTAAAGAAAACAATTTCATAGATAAATGTAACAATTATGCATCTCTTTTCACCTAACAATTGTACTGAGATATCTACCTTAATTTAAGGATATAATCATATAAATGTTTGTTTCTATATAGGAAAAGTTAATTGCATTATTATTATAATGGAAAATTGATGATAACCTGTTCTTGTTACTTTTTATTGCTGTGATAAAAACACTGACCAAAACCAACTTGGGGAGAAGAGAGTTTATTTGGCTCACAGTCCATCATCTAGGGAAGCCAAGGCAGGAACCTGGAGCACAGATCATGGAGGAACGCTGCTTAATGACTTGCTTCCCTGGCCTGTGCTTTCTTACTCAACCAAGGACCACCTGCCCTGGGTGGCACCCCCCACAGTGGGCTGGGTCCTCCCATACCACTCAATAATCAAGAAAATGTCCCACAGGCCAACCCACTGAAGGAAATTCCTCAATTGAGGTTCCCTCTACCCAGGTGTGTCAAGTTGACAACTGAAGCTCTTCAACACAACTAATTAAACATATTATATGTATTATTTGTTTTACTTTTAATTAATTAGGTATATGCATATTTGTGTGTGGGCATGTACACGTGAGTGTAGGTACCCCTGGAGGCCTAGATGTCCATTCCCTCTGGGTACTGGGAACTGAAATTGGGTCCTCTGGAAGAGCAGTAAACTCTTTGTGAGTATTAAGAGCAAATGGGATAGTAGTTCTAATGAGATATATATATTTTTTGGCCTGGTAACCATATCTGTCCTCATGTTAAAGGATATGTTTAAATTATGAAAATAATGAACATTTGCTGAAACTTCTGTTGGATCCCAAATCCATATTCCTATATTTCTGGTGTATAGGAATGTAAGCACATGCTGATGATAATGTTATAGAATTTTCCCCCATTTTCAGCCCATAAATGACAGTTTGAAGATCTTGGTACTTGCCAGCATGATGATGCCTTTAATCCCAGCACTCAGGAGACAGAGGCAGGTGGATTTCTGTGAGTTCAAAGCCAGCCTGGTCTACATAGTGAGTTCCAGGCCAACTGGGGCTACAGGGAGACCCTGTCTCAAAAAAAACCCAAAAAAACAAAAAACGAAAAAAAACAGTCTTGCTACTCAAAACGTGGTCCACAGCCCAGCTCTCTTGGTGTCTCACTGGAGGCTCTTAGTTGAGCAGACTCTCCCCTTGCCCATGCTTAACCAGTTCAAACAGCTGTATTTAAAGATCTAGGTGATCCCATGTTCCTTAAGGCCTGAGCAGCACTTCATTAAGACAGTTTAAAAGTTGGAATCACAAATTATTTGTCACTCCTAGAAACTAATGAAAATACCTGTGGAAGCACTGGAAGCTCCAACTTCTTTTCTGCCAAGGAAGTGACATTCACATAGATAACAGCTGTCTGAGGGAACTTGGTAAATTGCCAGATCAAGTCATTTTCTGGTAGAGCTTCAACTCACTGAGTTTCTATTCAGTTACAAAGGACTTGATTGTCTTCAGATTAGATTCTGCTTTATGCTGAATAATTTGTAAGTAGAAAGGGAAAAAAGCTGACTTATTTGTTTATTCATTTTTAATATTTATTTATTTATTATTTATGTGTATGTATGAAGGTATATCTGTGGAGATTAAGGACAACTCTGTGGAGTTGGTTCTCCTCTTTAATTCGTGGGATTAAACTCAGGTCATCAGAATTGGGGGCAAGCACCTTTACCTGCTCAGCTATTTTGCTGGCAGGCCTCTGTTTATGATACATGGTCTTACTATGTAGTCCAGTCTAGCTTCTAACTCAAGATCCTCTTGCCCAAGCCTCCTGAGTGTTAGGATTACAGGTACATGCCACTACTCCTGGATCACTGGCCTGTTGTTTAACCTGCATCTTCTGCATTAAATTCTGTGCTAAATCTGAGATTTTATCATAAATATTTGAAATGTCAAGACTATTAAATCTGTGATTTCCACCCCCCACCCCCACCCCCAGGATTTCAATGGACAATCATGTATAGTTTGCCCCTGGCATAAATACAAAATTACTTTGGCAACAGGAGAAGGATTATACCAATCTATAAACCCTAAAGATCCGTCAGCAAAACCCAAATGGTGCTCCAAAGGAATAAAGCAAAGGATTCATACAGTGACAGTGGATAATGGGAATATTTATGTGACTCTTTCTAAGGAACCTTTTAAATGTGACTCTGATTATTATGCAACTGGAGACTTCAAAGTAATTCAAAGTTCTTCCTGATAAAAATATATGATAATGAAAATGTATATGTTTGAAAATATTTTTAATTTGCTTCAGTGCCAAAAATGAATTATTTTCCAACGTAGGTATGTATTGTATATCTTTAAAAATCATAGGTTTGGGAGGCTTAAAAGCACATTTACTGCTGGGCATGGTGGTGCACGCCTTTAATCCCAGCACTCAGGAGGCAGAGGCAGGAGGATCTCTGTGAGTTCAAGGCCAACCTGGTATGCATAGTGAGTTCCAGACCAGCTGGGGCTACAGGGAAACCCTGTCTCAAAAAGACAAAAAAAAAAAAGTACATTTACTTAGTATCATTTTGGGATCTCTGTCAGGATCAACAGAATCCATTTCATCCAATCCTCTGGATTGATTACTACTTGTGCATTATATGTTTGAGGTGTTCAATTTCAGAAGGATGCACATAACTTAGAGTAACCAAAGTGAATAACAGCTAAAACATAAGATCTGGTGGAAAAAAAAAATTTAATGGGAAAAAAAATCCCTATTTGATGCAGCAGGTTTTATTTTGGAAAAGAGTTAATGTATTCAGTTTACATAATAAACCTCCATCACTCAGCTTTAACAGTTACTGCATTCCTCTGTTTTGGTTCACTGATTCCCTATTTTATGTATTATTATTTTTATATATTTTTAAAGTAAAATTTAAATACACTGAAATCCTCAAATCTTAGGCATACATTTTTGTTTCCAAATACATAGCAGATGTTTTCACTTAAAAATTGCCTCCAAAAAGAAGGTCAGTGTATATGTTAAACTTAAAAGTGAGAAACTTACCAATGTGCTAGACATCAAAACCAAATAAAACTTGACTTGATTTGTCTCTTATCAAGGCAAATTCTTTAAGAAAGCCACACACATTGACTCCCTAGCCATGAGAGACACAGTGCCTCCTGGTCAGCAAAACAAAGTACTTTGCCTACCTGAAATTTTCAAATAAAAGTTTAAAAGAATTTTAGAGAACTTTATGTATGTGTGCACAACTGTTTCCCATAAATGTAGAGAGCAGAGATGGATGATTTTGTTCCCCAGAGTTCACATGCAGAGTTGATGTTTATTTGTTTTACCTTGATTTTACAATGCCAGTTATTTGTGGCCTGTGCTGCTCTGGTTGCCTGGGGCCCATACTATACTAGTTATTGGGGCTTTAGAGTTAACACCCTGGGTGTCTGTTATGCAGAAATCAGCGTGCACACAATAAAATATAGGTATAAATGAGACCAGAAAGAATGAGTAGCTTATGAATTTAGAGTGAAGACTTAAGAATAGAACCAAGTCTCAAAGCATAGTAATATTTCCATGATTTAGGGCTGAATTAAGATTACAAACCTAATCCTTAACATTCTAAAGGATCCACCTGGACTCTTCCCCTTGTTGTAAAAATAGAAAGTGAGGGACTGGAGAAATGGCCTAAGAGCATTTGCTGCTCTTGTAGAAGACTACTGTTTAGTTCACAGGACCCCCACATCAGGTGGCTCAAAAACCACCTGTAATTCCTGTTTCAGGGCATGCCATGCTCTTCTCTGTCCTCTGTGGGCCCCTGTGTATACATGGTACATACACTCAGGCCCATACACATACACAAAAAAATTTAGAAACATAATTGTTTTTACAAAATAATACTTACATTTGTACCTTTTGCTACATGTCATTACATTCCCTTTTCTGGTTGATATGGGTTATGTGAGGGAGTATATACTTGTTACTCATTCTGACACTACTAAATAAAGAATAGTGCTTTACCAGTGACTGCTCACTAGGTGCAAAAGATGGACCATCTCTATGGTGAGTTCATTCCAGTCTATTAATTCTTAAATGACCCCAGTTTTATTATATGTCAGAATATAAAGTGCTTGAAAGAAACTAAAATAGTACCTGTTGGCAAAATCTAGGACCCTGGTTTATATGGTCAATTATAGAAGCATTTTCTTCTTGAGAGCCAGTGGTAATAGTAATGTGGACTAGGTTTCTTGTTCTAAAATTGAGTCCTTAAATTTGGAAATAAAAAGGTCACTTTGCCAGGTTCAGTGGCATGGGCCTGTAGTCCCAGTTCCACAGGAGGCTGAGGCAGGAAGATCCTTTGACCAAGGAATTCAAGGCCCAAGTGGAGACATAGCCAAACACCATTAATTTTTTAAAAGGCCTTATACTAGCATAGCCTGTCTTAATATACAGAAATCTTCTCATCAGATTTATGAGTAATATTTTGTTTTATAAATTTATGGCTCTGTGAATTGCAAGACCTTTATAACTTCACAAGTAAGTTATAAAAATGTCTGTAGGCCGACTCAGCTTTGCAGTCTACAAATAGAAGATGAATACACTTTTACCATTTCTATGTGTAGCATTTTGATAGGATTTTTTCCTTCCCAGATAAACATTCAAAACAAATCTTAAATAAAAATATAAATGTATTATGAAAACATCCATATTATAAACACAGTGTAAACTCTAACCCACCAGTGTGAATTCTCTTACTCATTAAAAATATCATATAGTCATATGTATATTCCACATTAAAATTCACTTTTATTCTCCCTGCCATTTAAATACAAGAGTGTGACATAGTAGTTTTCCCCTGCCCTACCCTCTTTTAAAACAAATGTTCAGCATATGTAAACTGGTCTTCTGATTTGGTCAGATGAAATGTACCCTCCGATAACTCTTGGGCTTTCTAACGTGATATTTGGTTCAGATTTCTCATTCGTTCACTTCAGTTGATTGGTCAAACACAGAGTGTAAAACCTGGATCTTGTTACTGTGCTTGTTCGCGGGAAGCTTGAGGAGCTCTGAAATGTTGTCTGGCTTCTCTGGCAATGATCTGTAAGGTTTTGCTGTGATTTCACCTTCAGAAAACATAGGCTCCAGAAGTACAGGCTCAGAAAATGCTTTTCTAAAATTCTCACTCTCTCTGTTTTGCCTTATGGACTCTTCTTCTTGGAAAATGTTCTTTACCTTCACCAACACAGCATTAACACAGACTGCCTGTATCAATAAAAAAAAATGTTGAAAAGTAATGTTTCTTTTTTAAGCTACTAACAGCCATAGATAAAAAGTCAATAACATGTTTAACATTGTTGTTAATCTACATAACCTAATTTGTTTTGTTTTTTGAGACAGGGCCTTTCTGTAGCCCCAACTGGCCTGGAACTTACTATGTCAACCAGGCTGGCCTCGAACTCACAGAGATCTGCCTGCTTCTGCCTCCCAAGTGCTGGGATTAAAGGCATGTGTCAGCACGCTGGGCCATATCTTAATTTTTTGAAAAGCCCTTCCTTTGAGGAAACATGGCAAGCAGTAGATTGATTCCTTATTCTAAATATGGAAAAAATGTTTAAATAATATGTTCAGGAAAAAAAAAAAACCTCAGAAATGAGAATTGCAACAAGTGTACTCATTAAACTTACTCTACACATTTACTAACGATGATAGTAATGCAGCCAACATTCCATGAACAAAATAGAACAACAAAATTCCATGAAACATAAGAGAACTGAAACCAGTTTATTTTATAGAAGAAATGCCTCAAGATGATATAATGGACAATATAAGTACTCTGAGAGTTTTCTTTCTCTTCTTCAGATTTCAAAGTTTTCTTATTGAACCTTTGTTGTAATCATTAATGCATTTTAATGGATTCCATTGTCATTTTCCATACATGCATATATTGTGCTTTAATCTTATCTACCCTCCCAACTGCTCTCCTACCTTCCTCTCACTTCACCCTCCTGCCACTCCCAGTAGTTCCTCTTCTAGTTTAGGTCCTTTTTAATCATTTTCCTTTCTTCCCAGGAGATAGAACACACTGTGCTTTTCTTTCTGTGTCAAGATTATTCTGCTACATGATATAGTCTTCCTCCTTGCCCCTCTTTGATTTTGCTTTTGTTAGAGCTTGCATTTTGTCTTAAATATGATGTGTTTTGAAAAATAGAGAGACTGAAGAGATGACTCAGGGCTTAAGAGCACTATATGTTCTTGCAGAGGACCTGGGTTCAATTCCCAGCACCCACATGGTGGTTAAGAACTGTCTGTAACTCCAGTTCTGGTGGAATCTGAGGCCCTCTACCGACCTCCGAGGGTATTGCATCACATGGGTCCACTTACATGCATGCAGACAAAACACTCATACACATAAAATAAAAAAATAAATGTTTAAAAAAGAAAAATAATGTTGCATGTATGGATGAAAAGAATGTGTATTGTGCTACTTGGATGGAATATTATGTAGCTAGTTGTTAAATCCATTGACCTATAGTGTTGATAACTTTTGTCAGGATGCTCTGTTGGTGACAGTAGGGAGACTGAAGTGACTCACTATTCTTGTATTGAACCTTTATGCTGCCTTCTATGTTATGTGGTATTTATTTACTAAGATTGAACAATCCAACTTTCAATGCATATATACTTATGACCATTATATCCCCTCAGTGGATTGTTCCTCTTACAGTTTGGATATGAAATGTCCCTACAGCTAAGACTAGTCCCCAGCTGATGGCCCTATTTTGGGAGGTGAGGTAATGTTAGGATATGGGACTACCTACAGGCAGTATTTGCTAGAGTATATTCTAGGTGCCTTAGCTTTCCCTGGCCCCCTCTTCCTTCCCCCTCTGCCTCTTGTCTGTTAGGAAATGAGCAGCTTCTGCCAGCTGCTTCTGCTGACATGTTGTTTCTGCCTCAGGTAGCCAGCCAGCCTTGGATGGAAATCTCTGACACCATGAGTCAAAATAAACCTTTCCTTTTCTTGAATTCTTTCAGTTATTTGTTACAGTGATGAAAAGCTGACTAGCTCAGTTCCCTTTATTAATATGTAGTGGTCTTTTTTGTCTTTTATGACCAACTTTAGTTTAAAATCTGTTTTGTTTGATATGAAGATAGATTCTCCTGCTTGCTTTCAGATTTAATATGCTTAGAATATCCTTTTCTGGTATTTCACTTTCAGTCAGTGTATGACTTTGACAAGTGATGTGAGTTTCTTGCAGGCAGCAATTTGTTGGGTCTTGTTTTGTAATCCAACCAAACATTCTGGGATTTCGTAGAGGTATAGGAGGAGAGTTGTATATGTATGTGTTTGTGTTAAGCATGTTCATATGTGTGTAGAGGCCAGAGGTTGATAATGGGTATCTTCCTCCATTACTCTTCACCTTATTTTTTGAGATAGGATAGCTCACCGAACCTGGAACTTATCAACTCAGCTAGGCTAGCTTGCAATAAGCCCAGGTAGCCATTCGTCTCCCCACCCCAACCCCCGTCAACCAGTGCTAAAGTTACAGATATGTGCTGGCATGCCTAACTTTAATGTAGGTTCAAGGGATCATCTCTGATCATTCTATTTGGAATTCTAAATCCCTCCTGCACTGGGAATATTTGGCAATTTTTCTACTATTGTTTCACTGGATAGGTTTGCTGTGATTTTTGTATTTAACTTGCCTCTTTCTGATTTTAATCAGAATACTGATTATAAATTTGATCTTCTAATCATATCCCCTAGTTACCATATATTTTATTTGTAGCCTCTTATTTATTCCAATTTACTGCTGTCTGAATGTAATAGTTTACTCTTTTTAAAGATTTAAAATTTTTATGTATATTGGGAGTGCTTGCATGTATTATGTGCACTATGCCTTAACTGGTGTTGACAGCTGCCATTTGGGTGATGAGAACTAAACCCAGGTTCTCTGCAAGAGCAGCAAGTTCTCTTAACTGCTGAGCCATCTCTCCAGCCTCAATTCATTCACTCTTGTCTTTGGTCTTTGATATGATTCCTTCCAGTTGATTTTGTGTATTGGTGAGACTTAACCAAGTTTTCCATTTGACTTACTGAGTTTTTTATTTTCTGGATTTGTTTGGTTCCTGTTAAGAATTGCCATTTCGTTGTTGAATAGCTCTTTCACAACTATATTGCCTTACTTATTTCATTCAGCTGCTCACTTGTATTCTCTTTGAAGTCACTGATCATTTTGAAAATCAATCTTTTTATTTCTTTGGCATCCGTGCACCTCAGTATCTTTGGATTCCTTACAAACTTTTGGAGGAGTCCTGTTTCCTTATTTTATTCCCACTGCTTGTGTTTCTACATTGAAATGCATGTATCTGTTAGTATGGGTATCTCTCCTGCTTGTATGTGAGGGGCATCTCATTAACAAGCCTTTTCTTGAGGGCTCTATCTCTAGTACCACTTAGATGAAAATAATTCACAATTGAAAAAACAAAACAAAATAACAAAAAAAACCTTGCAGGCATAGAAACACTGCAAACAAACAAAAATAGTAACAACACCAATAGCAATGGAAAAGAAAGAAGCAGAAATAATATAGAATTTAAAAGCTAAATGTGAAAGGAGAAAAGAAATTTTAAAATGACAAATTAGACACAAGCAAGAAAGAATAATGAAAAGGAAGAAAAAGGGCATTAAAAAATGCCTCCTATCTGAGATTCTTAGATCATCAGTAAGTTTCTCTATTGGTCCTCTAATATTAGAATCTGCTAAGTTTGAATAGTTGGAGGAAGGGGGGGACAGTGAGTTGTAGCCGAGGCCAGTTGGCATTCTTTGAAGCTCCCACTGAATAGGTTGGTTCTGTATACAGGCTGAGCCTTACTCTGTCCTGCATATCCTACTTTAGTTGGTCAAGGATATGTTGTCTGTGGCAGAGCTGTATTCACCTCCAAGGCCTTGTGCACTCCAAGGAGCCATATAGCCCCAGCAGTGGTATGGGGCTGGGCAGGCACACCCTCCCTCCAGAGGTCCTCTGCGAGCATGAATGAGAGGGGAACATGGTGAAGTTTGGTTCCACATGAGCCCAAACTGTCTTTGATAATATCTGGGCCAGGAAGATGCTTTCTTACTTAGATGCCTTCAGTCCCTGACCCCAAGGGGTTTGCAAATGTCTAAACCTAAGTGAATCTTCAAATGCCTGAGAGTGTGGGGAACAACCAGACCATTGAGCTTTGACTAGGGGAGGGGAGAGGGAGCCCTGAGGCAGCTGAACAAGCTGCTGGCATTGCTCTCAGCACTCTAGCCCAGTCCCTGTAGAAAGCCAGCTGTGACTGGTTTTGCTCCTTCCCATAAAGGGAGAGGCCACTGACCACTGTGCCCTCCACAGCTTGTACTGCCTGCTGTTTAAACTGCTCAGTGACTTTGTGACAGACCTGCCCCTTTTCCTTGACTGTCACAACTGTCTCTCACTTAGTCACTGTTGTAGTATCCTCAGGGCCTGAACTGTGATTGCCATGTGTTGTCTGAAATCCAGAGTAGTTTAGATCTTAACAATGTGTCCCTTCTAAAGGTGACTCCTGGTTATAGCTCTGAGAGATAGTGAACAATGAATTTCTTCTCTGCAGCTGGTGGGCCATGCAATCGCTTTCAGACCAAAAAAAGTGAAAAAAAAAAAAAAAAGTTTCAGACAAGGGCCCAAGGGTGTTAATACCTTTGTAAGTACCCCCTCACTGCCATCATATGCTCAGTTACAATCCCAAAAAGTGAAAAAAAAAAAAAAAGTTTCAGACAAGTAAAACTTGTAAGCACTGTGGGTTTCTCCCTCTGTGAAAACAGCCTGGTCCTATCACTGAGACTGCCTGCACTCTAACTTTTCTTGAACTCTGGCATGAATGCTGCCAGCTCAGCCCTGCTGGGAGCCAACACTGGAGTTTGGGATTGCTTCATAATTTTCTCTGAGCTGCCTTTTTGTTTCTCTTTGCCTTTCAGTTTTTCCTTCACTTCTGTCTTGATTCCTAAATCTCTTCTTTCTGTCCCCAGAATATAATTTCTCCTTTGTTGCCCTGACTCTTCTTACTTGCAGATTCCTGCAAAGGATACTTCTGTTCAACCGTCTTACTGTGGAAATTCTCAGATCAGTTCCTATGATGCTAGGTCCCACTCAGAAGGTCTTCTTGAAGAGGTAACAGCAAAAGGGTTGAAGCCTCAGCCTTGAAAAGCCTCAAATTCCTCCTGCTTTCCTTCTTCCTGTCTTCCCTGCCTCTCACTGTAAAATGCAGGAACACAGACGCTTCCCCTCATTTCCCTCGAATTTTGATCTGACACAGCCTCCATCTCCTGAGTGCTAGGATTTCAGGCTCTTACCACTCTGCCTGCTTTATGCAGTGCTAGAGACCGAACCAGGGCTTCCATGTATGCCAAGCAAATACTATACTGTACTAGGCTACATCCCAGCCCTCCTTGTACATTTTAGAATCAGCTAGTCAACTTACACACACACACACACACACACACACACACACACACACGCAGCCTACTTGGATTTTAATTGGGACTGCACTGAAGCTACAGACTGTGGAAAAGATTTGACTATTGTATCTTTCAATATGATAAAAATTAATAGTGTATAAGAACTACAGCAAAACATAAAGAGTAATTAAATAAGGCCAAAATAAATAGATGTGCCATGTTCATAAATCAGAAGAACTTATTCTAGCAGTTATCAAGGCATCTTATGGAGCTCCTGTAATCCACAGAGCGTAATGGGTACAAGAATAGGCAAACCAGTTAAACATATAGAGTTTATAAGCAGATTTACATATAAAAACATTTGACATGATAAAATGGGCATTCTAGACTTTTTCCTGATAATTGAGAGCAGATCAACTGGATACCCTAGGGAAAAGTGTTTGGCTCTTGCCTCATTCCAATTCCACATTATAGATTATAAATCTATAAGAGGAAGGCAAAAATAATGCAGCTCTTAGAATATAACAGATGAGAACGTTCTCATGACCTTGGGTATAGGTCATGATGTTTTAAAACAGAAAAAAAAATATAAAAAAGCATTAATAAGTTAAACTAGACTAAAATTACCTTCTGCATTAAAAGACTGCTATCAGAGTGAAAAGACAAGTCATAGGATAAAAAAGATATTTGCTTATATAAAATCAAAATAATATGCTGGAATATATTTTCAAAGCAAAATCGATAATGTAAAAAGTTGGCTCTCAGTAGAAAAATGAGACTAACAGAAATTCACAAATGAGGCTATCCAAATGCGAAGTTAATGTATGAAAAGGTAATCAATCTCATTAATAATCAAGGACATACAAATTATAATTACAAAGTTATAATACCCACATACAAAAATGGCTAAAATAGAAAATACTGACATTATAAGTACCACTGGTGACATACAGCAAGTTGGATTGTTATGATCTTCTCAGATATGTTTTATTTATTAAAAGCCATTTTAGAAACTGTTTTTGCAATATCTGTTAGAGATAAGTATATGTATATCCTATAACCCCATTTCAGCAAAAGATATGTACAAGGATATCTATGGCAACTTTATAACAACCCAAACTAGGAGCAATCTAAAATGACATCAGCAGTGAGTGGATAAGGAAATAGTGATATATCAATCACTAGAACACTATTTAGCAATGAAAATAAATTATTGCTGTAGACAAGTCATGAATCTCACAGTGATGATGCTGAGCAGAAGAAAATGCAAAAGAAAAAAAGTTGAACTGTCTGTGGAAGGACACATCAACATAGCAGCTGCCTTTCTAGGAGAGTGACAAGAGTGAGGCCTCTTTAGTGCGTGGTAATGTTTTGTTTATTTTAAATTTACTTATTTTATGTGTAAGAGTGTATTGCCTGTATGTATGTAAAGTGCACCCATGTCGTGCAATTGCCACAAAGTTCAGAGGAGGGCCTCTGATTCCTGTGAAACTGGCGATATGGACAGTTGTTACCTTGTTACCCACCATGTAGGTGCTGTGAATTAAACCTGGGTCCTCTGCAAGAGTAACCAGAACTCTTAACCACTGAGCCATCTCTCCAGCTCCAATGTTTTGTTTCTTAACTCGAGTAGAAATAGATCAATAAATTTTGTGATAATTTCATTGATATAGGACCTTTTCTACTTTTTTTTTTGGTCTTTTTGAAACAGTTTCCCTGTAGCCCCAGCTGTCCTGGATTCGCCATGGAGACCAGGCTGGCCTTGAACTCACAGAGCACAGAGATCCACCTGCCTCTGCCTCCCGAGTGCTAGAATTAAAGGCGTGCACCACCACGCCCAGCTTCTGCATTATATTTTAAAATAAAGAATAAATGACTATTGATTAGTGGGTGGAAGCACTTAAAATTGATAAAATCTTTTATATTATGCACAGCACTTGTAAGCAAAATGCGGTACCTATGTTTTCCAGTCATAGACCCACAACAGTGGAACACAGGACTACAGACAGCGAGTGAACAAATCAACTGTATAAATCAACCATTAAGCTGTTTTCACTAAAAATCTTCAAATAGTAATTAACTTTATAAAAATAATTTTAGTTATATAAGCAAATTGGATTTGGGTAAGATGATTTGGCTTGTCAGAAAAGCAAATATCTAATATGAAATTATTTTGCATAGCAAGAGAATGGCTTACCTTGGTTATGAAAAGCAACATTGAAGACAATAGCTGGTATTATATAGTGCCATCTTTAGCAATATATGAAACAAGTATATTCCTATATTCAAATGATTAACTTACCAAATAAATTAGTGCTGCGTAGGATGCATACATTATGCTAGTTAAAGCAGTTTTCACTGGAAAAGAAATTATTTCAAACAAAGAGCCCTTTTTGACCTGCAGAAACAGAAAAGACTTTATTAAAATGAAACTTTTCAATGTTAGGCTTACAATATTATTATGAGAATTTAATTTTTTTTACTAAAAACTATCTGTATTTTAACTCTCTGGGCTCTTTTCACACTGTGAAAGTATATTACTATAGTTTTTCTTTTTAAAAGAAGATGATTCCTATTACAAATCTGCACCGATCTTGCATTTCTGAAATCTAAACCAAAAAAATCACTTCAATTTTCACAACTTTGAACTGTCCTCACTGGGAGGCACTGCTGTGCATATACAAAATAGTCTTTTCTTTGTCCAAATCCATGTAACCATTCTTTACTAAATTATTCACAACGTCAATTAAGCAAACAGGCATCAAAATACTAAGCATTTCCTGGAGAGGAGATTAATGACCCACTTGGAAATGTTAATCATGGGATTGCTGAAGGTGGGACTTGACCGTAGATGATCATTAAGATTCAGGAACCACTCTAGGCTCATACCCAGCCTGCTGTTCTGAAGCACGGAGAGGGTTTGCACCAATAGTGAGTCTGTTGCTCACATGCTTCTAGTTTCTGGTAATAGGTGTTGCTGCCTCAAACATATCAGTATAACATATTCAGTTTAAGGGAATTATTCTTTCAGGCCCCCCTCTCCTGCTTTAAGCAGGCTATGGAATGAAGGCATTAGTAAAAACATTCCCTTCCCATCAACAGTGAAGTGGCAGTTAGCCATGCTCCTCTGAAGTAGAAGCCAAGCCGCTCAGTGGCTTCAATGAACTTCCAAATGGTACAGACTATAACTAATAGGCATATAAATGCACAGTAGATAGGGTACACTCTTTAGAACAGTGTGTACAGATCCATTTAAAAGTCACTTATAACATTGAGGGCTGGATCTGTAGCTCAGTCATAGAGCTCTTATCTAGCATGCACCAGGCCTGAGTTTATTCCCTAGCATCACCAAAAAAGAACCAAAACAACAATAAATTTAGCCAAGCATGGGGCATGCATGTGTAGTTCCAGCTATTTAGGAGGCTAACGCAGGAGGATTGCTTAAACCCAGGACCAGCTTTGGCAGCACAGTAAGACCTCATTTTGAAAAAGTTATTTGTAGTATTGAAAAAAAATCAAAATAGTAAATGACAGCAGAATGGTTAGGAAATTCTATCTACACGATGATATGTACAGCCTTTAAGAAGGTGATCTGAAGTCCACAAGATGACACGTTATTGAATAGACACTTCATTATGCAGCATCCTCTGCTATGAACTTTGTGAGCTGGTATGGGATCATTAAGATTCAGGAACCACTCTAGGCTCATACCCAGCCTGCTGTTCTGAAGCACGGAGAGGGTTTGCACCAATAGTGAGTCTGTTGCTCACATGCTTCTAGTTTCTGGTAATAGGTGTTGCTGCCTCAAACATATCAGTATAACATATTCAGTTTAAGGGAATTATTCTTTCAGGCCCCCCTCTCCTGCTTTAAGCAGGCTATGGAATGAAGGCATTAGTAAAAACATTCCCTTCCCATCAACAGTGAAGTGGCAGTTAGCCATGCTCCTCTGAAGTAGAAGCCAAGCCGCTCAGTGGCTTCAATGAACTTCCAAATGGTACAGACTATAACTAATAGGCATATAAATGCACAGTAGATAGGGTACACTCTTTAGAACAGTGTGTACAGATCCATTTAAAAGTCACTTATAACATTGAGGGCTGGATCTGTAGCTCAGTCATAGAGCTCTTATCTAGCATGCACCAGGCCTGAGTTTATTCCCTAGCATCACCAAAAAAGAACCAAAACAACAATAAATTTAGCCAAGCATGGGGCATGCATGTGTAGTTCCAGCTATTTAGGAGGCTAACGCAGGAGGATTGCTTAAACCCAGGACCAGCCTTCGCAGCATAGTAAGACCTCATTTTGAAAAAGTTATTTGTAGTATTGAAAAAAAATCAAAATAGTAAATGACAGCAGAATGGTTAGGAAATTCTATCTACACGATGATATGTACAGCCTTTAAGAAGGTGATCTGAAGTCCACAAGATGACACGTTATTGAATAGACACTTCATTATGTAGCATCCTCTGCTATGAACTTTGTGAGCTGGTATGGTAGCACAGACTACAGTCATGGCTACTCAGGAGACTGCGGGGAGAATTGCTTTAGCTCAGAAGTTGCAGACAACACAGTTGTGGCCTGACAACACAGGAAGACCCCATCTCAAGCTAACAACAACAAAAGCAAACTATATACTTTATAAACACCCATTTCATTCATTCAATCCTATGAATTTGGCATTCTTATTTTCCCCTTCCCACAAAGAGAGCAAAGAAAAGAGAGTTAGAGTTGACCAGCCTATGACAGTATAGCTGTTAATAGTAAAGTTGATTTAAACCAGGAGTTATATTCCAGGGCCCAAACTCCTAATCTGGTCAGTCAGCTGTGTTGCCAACACAGCTGTACTGCCTGGAATGCACTGCTCATGAAAGGCCACAGAGGGGACATGAAACTAGCTAATTTTTATATCAATGCTTTGCTGTGAAGACAAGAAAATGCATGTTAAGTACTTAGCAGAATGCCTGTGTACAGGAAGCAGTAAGTGACATGATAGATAGTAATATATGAGAAAGAGTAAAGTTAAAACTTGTATGCATAGCAAATGATTCAATTTCAAATACAAACAAGCCAACCTAATCTGTACTGTTGAAAGTCAAGAAAATGGACTCCTAACAGGGGTGAGATCAATGACCCAAAAGCAACATTTTCTAGACACCACTACCATAGATGGGTTCAGTTTCTCAAAAGTCAGTGAGCTGTACATCTAATGATTTATACACTAGTCTGTGTGTTGACAGAATTTTAAAAGAATTCTATCAATATTTTTATAAAAAATGCAGAACTAACTTTGCATAGAAAAAAATTGACAAAAATGCACCACAATTTTAATAGGGTTTTGTTTGAATACTACCTTGTATCATTAACTTTTCTAGAATGCTCATCATGTGCCAGCTTCTCTTCTAATGGAGTTACTGCATTGTCTCATTTTAATCACTAATAAGTCTATGAAGTAGGAACACAGGTGCAGAGAGATTAAAGTTTTGTCTTCTGTGTTTTCCAAGTTATCTTAAAAAGCATATGGTATCATGTAAGTGAAACAACTAAACTCTTAAGTGTGCTCAGTATCCTGCATGCTTGGCTTTGGCTGACTGCCGCCACTACTGAAGAACAAACTGTCCATCAGTGTTTCCCTGACTCTCGTAAGAGAGAACTATGGAATGCAGAAACCAAGAATGCTACCTAACCTCTTAGCTAAGAGTAAGGGGAGGGAGTGAGGTGGGAACTGTCTGCTTTTTTCTTCCTTTTCTTCAGGATGTACCAACTCCCAGATGTCAGCATAGGCAAGGGAAGTGTTAGACTACTGTCTCCATAAGAGAACCTGGAAAATTTTTGAGTTCCTGGCTTCAGTAAAGAATCTCCAGGAAATGAAGCAGGAGTTGCTTTTTCCTACTCCCTAGAAGTATCACCACAGCAGCATGCCTTTGAATCTGACTGTGAGGCTACAAGGAGCACATGAGTAAAGAACAAACATTCCAGGACAAGAAAAGCAGATACAGCTCTATAAGATGGCTCCTGGCAGATGAAAATTTTCGACTCATGAGTTTGTGAATATATGCATACATAGTGAGATGTATATTTGATAAATAGGAAGCCATACACAATAAAGTTAAAATGTTGCCAGAGAAGCAGCTTCTTGCAGTATATGGCAGTTAACACAGAGAGACCCACAACTGGTCAACCTGCAGAAACTGTGGAGTACTCTGCCCTAAATGGGACACCTATATCACACCCCCTTTTCCAAAGGCTCAGGGATCAGTGTGGAAGAGGAGTGGAAAGATTTTAGGAGCCAGAGGTGGTGGATGAATCCAAGGAAACTAACTGTGTTGTCTGGACACCATAGCGTAGTTGCACACATGAACTCACAGCACTTATGACAGCAGGCGCAAGACCTGTACAAACCCAAGTTAGACAAAAACCCATCATGGAGAGAGGAGGTAGGCAAGAAGTCCCAGCCCTAGCTGAGGATCTATTGGCAATTGATAGCTGCAGGCAGAGGGAGAATCAGTGTTTTTTAAGAGTGTGATGCCTGGTAGGTTGACCATGCTTCGAGGGATGGACACATACCCAAGAGCACTTAGGGAACACAAATTAGATTCTATAGACTTTAAAAATTAATAATAGAAGACATGAAGTTGGGGGGTAGTAAGGTAGGGGTCAAAATGGGGAGGGGGTCTGAATATAATCAAAATATGCTGCATGAACTTCTCTCTCTATATAGATATATATATGGCCTGCCTGAGAAATCATACTGTTGCTGTTTCAGTACATATTTCTTTCTCAAATCTAGTCCTTAATCTAAAGGTAATTAAAATGATTAGTTTCAAAATGAATTATGTGGATATTTGTTATACTTAATTAATTTTGTATATTGCCTAAGGGTTGCTGTTTTCACTATCTTAATGCTTTTAATAAATACTTTCTATTTCTGTAACAAGTCATCCTTAGAATTATGTGGATATTTGTTATACTTAACAATTAATTTTGTATATTGCCTAAGGGTTGCTGTTTTCATTATCTTAATGCTTTTAATAAATACTTTCTATTTCTGTAACAAGTCATCCTTACAGAAAATATATTTCCTCCAAAATATGTGGCTACTGGCAAGTAGCCATTTTTGTTTTATGACTCACAAGCAATGCATGCTTTTCACATTAAAAACCACTCTGCTTCATTTCTGCCTTGCTTTTAGTGGGAATATTGTATGCTAAAAACTGAAATAAATAAATAGGGAGAAATATGGAAAATGGGAGTCTTTATTTAGATTTCCTTAGTCTATCTAAATATTTTATCTTAGGTTTGTTATATTAATTTCATTTATTCACATATTTGAATTAAAAGTATCTTGATATCAATGGTGTGACAAATATGGTCTGTCCATATTTTTTAGTTTGGTTA